ATCTTCATAAATCTCTTGTATAAGGTCATGAAAAGAAATAAAATTGGAAATTTAATGATATAATCGGGTAGATTTTTAAAGTAGGGTTAATCTCATAAAAGACATTATACTTTGTGTTTTTTTCCGGATTAAACCTCATCTTTATTTTTTTCATGAAAAAAGACCTTATGTTTTTTCATTTTTTCCAAAAAAACCCTCAACTTTGTCTTGTTTTCCGAAAAAACCCTCGACCTTTTAAATGTTTCCAAATAAACCCTCAACTTTTTTAGTTTTTCCTAAAAAACCCTCACATTTTACAACTTTTTTTGGAGAAAAATTACTAAAAGGGTCAAATCGGAAAAAATGAAAAAATACAAGGTCTTTTTCATGAAAAAAAAAAATAAAGTTGAGGTTTAATCTGGAAAAAACACAAAATATAAGATCTTTCATGAGATTAAAACCCTAACAACCCTTTAAAGTACAATGATGTAATGGAAAGAAATGATAAGAGTCGATAGTTTTATTACCATGCTTAGTGTAAATATAGATTTGGGAGTGGAATGTAAATAATGATAAATGACCGAATTACCCTTTTTTGTGCAGTAAAATGGTTGTGCCGCTACCTCTGCCGCTAGGGCTGGTGTGCATGGGTGGTTCTTATTTATTGTTGACTTCATTCTGCTTTGTGTCAATGGCAAATGCAGTGGAGTTGACTGATGGTCTTGATGGATTAGCTGGAGGAACTGCTGCCCTTTCATTTATAGGAATGTCAATTGCAGTCCTTCCAATTTGTTCAGGTTTCTACTTTCTCCCCCTCTCTTTCACAAAATTCTTTTTAAGCCAAACACTAAAAAACACTTAATACTTTCACCATTTTATCGATTTAGTCACTTTAAGTATTTTCTTAAGTGAGTTAAAAGTTAAAACCAATTTTTTTTTAATGGTTTAAAAGAACCCTTTTTCTCGTGCACCTCATGAGTGGGCCCCGCTTTTTTATTATTTTACATTGTATTGCTAAAATTACTTTAAATGTTAGGGCTAATTAATCTCATAAAAGTTTTTTAGTAATCTCATTTTTTTGAGATCTGGCCCTTTTAGTCATTTTTTTCCAAAAAAAGTTGTAAAATGTGAGGGTTTTTTCTGGAAAAAGTAAAAAAGTTGAGGATTTATTTGGGAACAGCTAGAAGGTTTAGGGTTTTATTCGGAAAAACACAAAGTTGAGGGTTTTTTGGGAAAAAATGAAAAAAATACAAGGTCTTTTTCTGGAAAAAAAAAATAAAGATGAGGTTTAATTTGGAAAAAACACAAAGTATAAGGTCTTTTATGAGATTAACCCAAAATGTTATTACATTGTTTGTATTATTTATTAAATCAGTTTACTACATTTAAATAATTATTTTATAAATATATTTACATATCAAAATACTTAATTTATGATCAAAATTATAATTATATGCTATAAATTTCAAATCATAATTAGCTGAAAAGCTATCTGACAAAAAATGACGTTTGGTAAAGCTATAGTTGAAAAGCTAGCTGAAAGATATAAAATGACATAAAAGGGTATTTAAAAACATATGTTTCTATAATTAATTAAGGGGTATATTTTGAAAATTTTCAAAAAGCTCCAAAAAAGCTAGCTTATAAGCTACTTTTTGGCTAGCCAAACATGACAACTTAAAAAAGCTCGAAAAATAAGCTAGCTGTGGCACGCCAAACACAACTTTAATGGAAAAAATCAAGCCATTTAAAAAGATGTCAAAAAGAGTTTTGGAAAACATTGAATTGAGATTTTATTTATTTATTATTATATAAAAACAGATCTTGCAGTTTTTGGAGCATCAATGGCAGGAGCTTGTGTTGGTTTCCTTTTCCATAACAGATACAAAGCTTCAGTGTTTATGGGGGATACTGGAACTTTAGCATTAGGTGGGGCCCTCGCTGCAATGGCTGCTTGTACTGGAATGTTCTTTCCCTTACTTATATCTTCTGGAATCATCATCTTGGAAGCACTTTCCGTTATACTTCAGGTATCATTAATTCATTATCAAATATCAATCACTTCCTATTATTATTATTTAACATCACCTAAATAAAATTATAAAGTTATTAAATACTTGGATAGAAAATATTTGATATAACTAATGATTTATATATTCATAGATTTTAAATGCTCATAATTGTTTCAGTTTTTAGAATCAATGGCATTACAGATTCTATCAAAATGGCAGCAATTTTCTAGAATAACAATTAATGTTTCTTGAAATTAATCGTGCCATGTAATATTTTAGTTACATATAGGCTATGGAACCTTGTGAAACATCAATTTAATCAAAATCAAAAAATATAATGGTTTCAATCGACACATGGTATAACATAATGGTTTTATTTAAGCATGGGAGGATAATAGGAGAATCATCGACTATGTAAAACAATTATAATTGATTTAGCAAATTCTAATTCGATTGACAAATCTTTACATGAACATATAAACTTGTAAAAAGTAAAAACATGATTTTATAAATTGATGAGATGTTACACATGTTTGGTAATTGGTAGGTATCATACTTCAAATTCACTAAACGATTACAAGGAATTGGAAGGCGGTTATTCAAAACAGTTCCTTTGCATTACCATCTTGAATCATGTGGGATAAAGGAACCTGTAATTGTTGCGGGTGCATACATTATTTCATGCATATTAATGTTATCGGCTGGATATGTAGGTCTTATTTCGGTATAGGTTTTATTCATTCTTGAAATATTTATGTAATTACCTATTAGATTTTATTTACACAATTGCTCATATCTAGTCAATTTTGATTATAGGGTGGTGTTTTTTTTTAACTTAATGAGGATAAGACGTAGTATATGAGTGGTTTTTTTTTACTTAATACAGAAAGAACGAATTAACAGAGAAAAGAAGGGTTTTATGTTTTTTCCTATTAGGTCTTGACTTCATTTATTTGTTTCTTATATCCTTTTATCACTTGGAAAAAAAGAAGCATGACCTTAGCACTCTCAAGGCAAGGTCCTACTCATATCTTAGGCTTAGGCTGTGTTTGGCGCGCCACAGATAGCTGATAAGCTAGTTTATTTTTCGAGCTTTTTTATGTTGTGTTTGGTAAGCCAAAAAGTAGTTTATAAGCTAGCTTTTTGAAAAGCTACTTAGACTAGCTTTTTAGGAGCTTTTTAAAAATTTTCCAAATACACCCCTCAATTACCTCAATTAATTATAGGAACACATACTATTATAGGGAAAATGACGAAAAAAGCACTATATTTTTCCAAAAGTTCGGTTTAACCACCAATTTTTAAAAAGTTACGAAAAAACCACCAATTTTTTGATAAAATGTTTCTACGTAGCCACTGTTACCTATTAAAACCATTTTAAGTACGAAAAAAACACTATATTTTATCTAAAGTTCAGTTTAACCACCAAAAAATTGGTGGTTAAACCGAACTTTTAGAAAAATATAGTGTTTTTTTCGTATTTAAAATAGGTTCTATTAGGTAAAAGTGGTCGTGCTGAAACATTTTACTAAAAATTGGTGGTTTCTTCGGAACTTATTAAAAATTGGTGGTTAAACCAGAAAATGTGACAAAATATAGTGGTTTTTTCGTCATTATCCCTGCTATTATATGTCATTTTATGTAATTTTATATATTTCAGCTAGCTTCTCAACTAGTTTTACCAAACGTTATTTTTTATCAGCTAGCTTTTCAGCTATCAGCTAGCTTTTTATTTAACAGCTACCTTTTCAGCTATCAGCTAACTTTTTATTTAACATCTAGCTTTTCAGCTAGTACGCCAAACATTGCCTTAACAAAAAACTAGAACTGAGATCTACCTAACTAATTTTATTTCTATATTTTCGGAAAATGTAAAGAATATACTTTTTTTTGCTATCAATAAATATATACTTTTTTTTTAAATAGTAAAACTCTTAGAGAATTCGAGAACATTATATATTGGGATTAGATATCTATCTTTCCACAACATTAATCCTTTTTTTTTTTAAATCTATTTCTTCTTTTACATTTCACCAACAACACTATCTTTGTGTGCAATAAGATTTTTGCACTTTTCAATGTGTATGATGTTGACTTATTCATAACTCATTATAGCATCCACTAAAAATTTCACATCCCCATAGAAATCTTCATTAGGGGTGTAAGTGAGCCGAGCTACTCGGGATCGACTCGTTAAAAGCTCGACTCGAGATCGAATTAAACGAGCCCGAGCCCGAGCCGAGCTCGAGCCTAAATATGAGGCTCGTTTATTAAACGAGCTCGAGCCGAGCTTCAATTAGTGGGCTCACGAGCCTAAATGAGCT